TCCAGCGAACGAGGCGCCTCCTCCTGGCTTCCGCTGTTGCCGGGTGCACTTCTGACTGCAAAATGCTTCCGTCTGCGATTGGAAATTTACCAGGCAAGGGACGCAAGCGAAGAGCAGGCTTAAGACTGGGTACAGAGGGGGTTAATTTGGAAGGTGGATGGAGACAAACGGAAGACGGAAGACAGAGCGGAAGCAAGCAGGCACACACGACCTCCTCTCTGATACCCCGTAACGCCTTGGTATTAATGGCCGCAGGACATGTCAAAGGAACCGGAACTGATGACGCGCTGCGCCTCCAGTTCGACGTGCACTGACTGCAATCATAAAGCTCTCTAGAGTTGCTAGTTACTGTCCGGTAGGAGCTTCACTGCACATCCTCACCGTTACGCGCTTCACAATTACCTTGCATATCAATCAGGAAAAAACCGCTCCGTTGACGCCCAAATTGTTCAAAGGACGAAAGCTAAATAATTGCAGGGAATTTGTCGCTCGTTTACCCTTCGCAGCTGAACAGCCAAGTGGAAACTTGCCGCTTTAAATTAATATTTCTGATTGCTTCGCAGCCCTTCAGCGAACTTTTCCCAGTTTCCAGGCTGCAGATTAAGTTTGTCTTTAAATATTATCCTTATTAAGATTACACTTTGCCGGCCTTTTCTCAATCAGAAAGTACTGTGCTAAGGGCATCCTGGCTATAACATCCTTACATTTTTACATACATTATTTAAGCTAACAAAAATGGAAAAAAGCTGCTTAAAAATGTCTTTATTGAAACGGCGAGGTATTATTAAAACCTTTAAAGCTGGTGTTCGGTATTAGGGAAACAATACTGTAATCTTGTAGTTCTTACTTGTCGTGTTTTTAAGGATTCACCATTTATTTATCCCCGAACAGTGACAATACTTAATGGGGTATGTTTACTTACTCACAAAGAAATTGTTATAGTTGCTTTAGTTTTTATATATATTAAGAACCAGAAAGATTACTTTGTGGACTCCTTCCTTTCTATAAAGAACACTTCAATTGTCTTTAAATTGTGACTCTACTATAGAGAACTTTTTTAAAAAGGAAAAAACGGAGCTCAGACCGACGTTGATGTGGAGCAGGATTGCAAACTAAAATCCTGCTTATGCATTTCCCTAATGAAAAGCAAAGAAAAGCAAACGCTGTTAAGCCTAACTGTATTACTGCATTGCGCCGAGAGCCGACGTGCGCTAGGAACAAATTTCATTACAGTTGTGGCTGAGTGGTAAATAAACATTTATTCTCCTCTGCAGTTATTTGCTTTTAATAATAACTGGCAAAAATTAAACAAGAAAGTAGTATAAGATAATTTCAGATATCCGAAGTTTGTGTTTCCTTGCACTTGCTATGTGATCCAATAGTTCATCAAATACAATAATATCACTAAATGCAAGTAGATGTTGAAAAGAAAATTATTTTAAAATATTATTATTATTAAAATCTATGCTACAACAAGGAAGGGCGTACGTAGAAGTTTGCATACCCTTGCAGTTAGCTGCTGGATCAAATATAACAAGAAAAGAAGCAAAAGTTTATATAACCTTACAGTAGAACTTCGATGACTAGGAATCCATATAATATTAATTATATATACTTATGTTATAAAACAATGAAGTAATACCTGATTTCATTTCATTCACCTATACATATTATATTTGCAGTCTTACATTCACAGATTTGCATTTTGCTCTACATCAAACGATCGTTTGTATGACACCTATATGATATATAGTCGTCCGATTTTCATAAAATTTGACACAAAATTTAAGACTAATATAAAATGGCTATACCTCAAATTAAATAAAAATTTGTTGAAAACTAAAAATATTATTATTTTTAATTGTATTAATTTCTCGATAGTTCCTATGGGAGCTATATGATATAGTAGTCTGATGTTAATAAAATTTTACACAAAATTGTAGAATATAATAAAAGACTATGTCTCAAATTTGATAAAATTCTGCTGAAAACTGAAAATATTATAATTTTTTTTGTAAAAATTTTCCGATCATTTCTATGGCAGCTATATGATATGGCCCGTTCCGACTTATATACGAGTGAGAGTATATAGAAGGCTAACTACAAAGTTTCATTCAGATAGTTTTAAAACTGAGAGACTAGTTTGCGTAGAAACGGACAGACGGACAGAAGGACAGACGGACATGGCTAGATCGACTCGGCTATTGGTCCTGATCAAGAATATATATACTTTATATGATCGGAGGTGCCTCCTTCACTGCGTTGCAAACTTCTGACTGAAATTATTATACCCTGCAAGGGTATAAAAAAGAAAACGTATCAGGAGGTGTTTATATACGATTTATATGTTAAAACATCAAGCTTTTGATGTTTTTTTCACCTCTATTATGATAGAACTTTATGATATATGTGGAAAAACGACAAACTAATGCCAATTTCTTCAAATTGATCTATTTATGTTATTTTAAAAGTTTTAAATTTTTCGATACATAAAATCATTCTTATGGTAGCTTTATGATAAGTGGCAATATACATAAATATTTAATTCTTTTTTATTGTTTTACTAGTCAAATGGCTCGTTCAGGCTATCTGCCATGAAAACAAACAATTTTCAAATCCCAAACACATTAGTTAAATTAATTTGGCCCACTTACAAAACAACCCAAGTTTCTTCAAAACAGCTAAAACAAGGGACGGATGTTCAGTTGTTAGTCTTAGTATTGATTTAGACTTAATATTCACACATACATATATACTCTAAAGGGTCAAATAGATTCCTTGACTCCTCTGCATTGCGCATCTTCAAATGGTTTTAAAATATTTCCAACTCTTTTAAGTTTTATTTTTCTTAAGCTTTCGTTTTTATGGGCCTTTAGCTGCGAATAAAGCACTTTGTAAGTGGGCCAAATTAATTTAACTAATGTGTTTGGGATTTCAAAATTGTTACTACTCAGCTTACACTGAGCCTCTTCCCGGGTGCACTTTATGGTCCAAGTTAATGTGATCCTAAAGCAATAGCATCTTTAATTCACCACAAGAATAGGGCCACAAATTCCCTTTGCATAGGGACACGTCGTATATTATATTTACTGTCATGCCTCATGCCCGATGATTACATGCAAAAAGGTCGGCGAGACGCATTACCACATCATTAAGAGACCAGGACGAAGAGTTTGACCCCGGACTTATTTCCAGTTTTTGCTTTAGGATCGGAAAATCAAAGTGCGAATAAAATGGCACCACAATAGTGAGGTATGTATGCAGAACTGGAGCTGCATCGAGGCGTCATTAAGTCAATTTGTGACAAGCGATGCGGAACTTAATGTGCCGCCTGGGAGACAGGATGCGACGAAGCAAGTAGATGGGGAGTCAAGGGTTTGGCAGCACCCGAACACAGACAACCAATTATCAGGAAATGTCAACACATAGAAGCAAGGCGGCAATAAGAATTCGGGGCCAGAGGATGTGGGCCCTGCTGTGGCTGGCCAAAGAGGAGATTGCGCTTTTGCGGTTGTGTTAAGTTGATTTCCGGCATGTCTGCCCCAGACCAAAATCCCACTTCTATCGCTGCTTCGCCAGTTTTCACCCATTACCCACTTTCACACGATGTCCACATGGGGCAGCCAAGATGTCCAACACCAATTATGCGTGCAGCTTCTTCGCTGCAACCCCTTGCTGTCACAGCCGACAGCCGTCAGCCATAAACAGGCGCTGTCAATGCCGTCGTCATCTTTCATATCCACTCCCTACATCATTATGAAGATCATCATTCCCAATTGCCGGCCTGTAGCTTTTGTCCACTCCCCTGCTTCCATGCCAGTCACAAACACAACCGTAAGTCCCCCGTTTCCCCATCACGACGGTGTGCTGTAAATTATACGCTTTTGCGTTTAGACTCACAACCCCGAAGTCTGGACCGACCCCAAAGGATGTCTTCCCCCCGCTCGGCAGTTTGATGTTTTGCGGTTGTGTCCCTAGGTCCAGGAATGAGCAGTCGGGAAAAGTGACTTACTGATGCATTCCTTTAATATTTAAAGTGCACTTTAAGGCCGTTGTTTGTACATTATGCTGCCGATACGTTATTGTTTTGCTCCTTGCGGTACAGATTCAATTAATGGTATATCGTCGAGAGATCACCAAGCTCAGCCTTTTTTCCGCTCAGCCGATCTTCTCCAGACAAGGCGTCTCCGCAAATTTTGTTCTTGCTGCTGCTGCTGCTGCGGCTGGGGAGGCACTGTGTCATTTGTTATGTTATTGGCTTGGACATTTTGCAAATTGCTTATTCAGCAGTGCGTAAAATCCACAGTGTCCTCCGCCCAGCGCTCATCCTGCTCTCATGCTGCGTTTCTCTTTTTGCGGAGACCACACATAGGTCAAGGAGCTGTAGGTTCTGGTGTGGCCACCAGTATCTTCCTCGTCTCTCGTCCACCCATATATAACATACATAGATCCGAGAAGTTTTTGCCTTCCTTACCAACGTGTCAAGTAAGCGGTTAGTTCTCCGCTACCCAGCCACCCCATTCAACTACACCGAATCAGGTGCGACTTTATGTCCACCCTTTCAGTTATTTGGTCAAGTGTTCGAGAACTGTCAATTTGGGGAAATTTTGCACTTGCACATGGGTGCAGACTATTTTTTTCATCCAGCAGAGCGACGCTTTTTCAACTCTCATCTGTACCCTAAATAATATTTGGCTTTCATTTACCCCTCAGTCCTAAACCGGGCCTTGTTTTTTGGTCGTTGCCTAATTGCCTGCTACACTTTACAGCACATTTGAGAGCAGGGCTCAAGCTTCGGCTTCGAAGGTGGCCATAAACTTTAACGACTAATAGTTTCTGAGGCTTTTTAATTAGGCGAGATGGTCGTAAAAATTGATTTATTGCTACTGCCGGGAAATGTTAATTGCAGGCTCTTCAAGGGAGTTTGGGTGGAGTGGAAATTCGGCATTCTTTCCGAGTGTGCTAACTAACTAACTTATTTCCTATTATTATCTTTTCAGCTCCCGGCAAACCAACTCATGTAGAATAACCAATGTGTGAACCAAGTCTGTATTATGTGCCATATGTGACACCACCATCCGTATGAAAGTCTATCACTCAAATGTATAAAATAGTATAAATAAAACCGTTTAAATACTACAAGTGTGTACCTATTAAACTTAACATTGCTTGAGAAATTCTATAGACCAGCCTTGGCTTTTAATCGAAATGTTGTCAGGAAGCCAGAAAGTCTTTAGGTCGCTGCTGGGTAATAGAAGTTCACGGGGTCGGCCACTTAACGGTTCAACTTTATGTAAATTGCAGATTCCAAGAAATCTTCAACAAGGGAATGACTATTTAACATCATTAGCATTATAAGAGCATTCTTCTTTCGCCTTGGCCTTGGCTATCTGACTCTTTTGCTTTAATTTACCTGGCTACCCTCAGCCTGCCCACCTCTTGCCTCTCTGCCTGGTTGCCAGAATGGATGGAAGGATATTTATAATAGAAGCAACAACAAGACCAGCGCAAAGTGATTACAATTCCGATTTAATTGTAATTAAAGCGATTATTATGGGGTAGTTTTTGTCCCTTTTTCGCATTGCTTTTATTTCGCCCTCTGATTTTTTGTCAGTTGCGCTAAATCGTCACAACTCGGGGAGTGGAAAAGCTTATTTTCAATTTAAAATCCCACCAACTTTTTCAATCTTCCCGCACGCCTTGCCAGGCTGCAAAGGCCTAAGGGCTTTTAGGGTTGTTAGTGGGCTGGGTTGAGGCCAAAACTGTTTCTTGTTGCATGGAAGAACAGTTTCACTTACTTTTCGGCTCAGTCAGAGTCTGAAGACGTCTGGGGTGGCTCTTAAATGAGGGTACCTGGTACCTGGCCCTTACTGCTGGAGGCGCTCTTTCGACGTACAGCTACAGTAGTGTATTCTATAGTTTTGCTGTCGGACTTCTTGCAGTCTCACATTGAGTAAACTAACTTCTTTTTCAGGATATGCATACTTATCTTTTAGCATCGTGAAACGAATTTAATTGATCATTTAAATAAACAAATTTAGACGATTGACCAGAGAGAAAGCTATATTTGAGACTTTGTATACAAAGAGTTTTAAATTAATAAATTATTATTTTCAGTTGAAATGGCCTGAAGGAAGCAAATTTCCAAGACTCGCCTAAGCGATTAATCCGATCATTATTATTATTTTGTTACTAAATAGGCAATCAAGGATTTTCTTTGTGAAAAGCATATATATTATTGTAGAATTTCGATTTTAATTTCAAGAACGTTTGTTTTACATATATTTTTTATAGTTTAGATATTTAACTTTTGTAACGTTTGTATTACATATATTTTTATAGTTATATATCTAAACTAGTTATATATCTTTATAGCTATAAAAAATATATGTAATACAAACGTTTGTGAGATATAGAGGAAAATGCAACGCTATGAATGTTAAACTCGAAATATAATAAGTATAAGGTGAATGTAACGAATGTAGTAAGTGTAATAATATTTAACATAAATATTATATATCATTTATATTATATTAATTCTTGGTGATCGAATTGCAATCTGCAAGGGTCTGCAAACTTCGCCGTGCCGAAGTTAGCTTCCTGTCTTGTTAATGATTAGAAATTTTGTTTCATACAAGGTTCGTCGACATTATACCTTTCAATGTAATATTGATTTTGTTACTTTGAACTTTAAGAAACGAATACATCTCGTCAAGAGGTAAGGTGGCGCCTTTTAAGCCATCGGAATTTGGAAACAAAAAGAATTAACTAATAGTAAAATTAACTTAATCTGCGTGTATTTTATAAAAAGATGCCTTACTTAAATAAAAACAAACAGAAAACTTGCTTTACAAAATAACAATTTTTCGCTTTATGTGCAGTAGCCACAGTTTAGCTCGGAGAACTGTTCGCTTTTCTAGGTGCTAAACAAAGGTTTTATAATACATATTCCACACTTACAAACCTATGTATGTACATCCCACTCTTAATTTCACTATATATCTGCACGTTTACTGTAACCTCATTTTGCAGAATTCAGAAGGACGTTGCTCTCAATTTAGCATTTGCGCTTCCCTCCAAAACTCTTTATAAATGAAAAGTAACTGCCTGCCACAGCGGAAACGACAACAACTGCAAGCTTACAACATCGCAGTCGAAACATTGGTTGGGGTAATTTTTATTACGATATTTCCCAAATGAGTTAAGTAGCAAAACTCACTCAGCATAATTCCGCCAAGTGTGGGTCGGGACGGGGGCTGCTTGCTGAAAAAGTGTAATTAGTGGTGCGAAATTAGTGTTATCCTAGCGAGCCAAAGCATTGGGGGACTGGAGGAGCGCCGGGTAGGTACTCGTAGATGAAAGCAGCTCGAAGCTGAAATGAAACGCACGCGCTGATAGTGTTTTAATGTGTGTGAGCACATCCTGGCACGAGAAGCACCTCATCAGACCGTCCTCGTCCTGCCCACACTCGCACCCTATTGAGAGGACGTTGGCTTGTGCCTGCCGTTGCTCACAGGGAGCTCTGTTCCGGTCCGGATTTTTCCACTGAAAACATATATTGACGCAGAGTTTACTTTAGCCAGTGAACTAGCTAACTTGATAATAAACAACAAGCTCGATTGGGCTACCCCTTTGCAGACCCCCTCTAGGTGGAGTCAAGGCTCACCGTGCCTTTAAAAGCAATTGGGGTCGGCTCACGGAGCTGTGTGTGTGCAGAGCTGAGGAGTGTTTTTATGAACTGTTAAATTTCCAATTAGTGCTGATTGTTTCGATAACGAACAATGCGTGTGAAACGGCGACCTTAGCACCTCGTCGAAGTTGCCAGTTAAACGGATAATCAAAGTCAGCCTTGCTTTATAAGGTGTGCGGAATAGGGATGGAACTCTATAAGTGCATTAAACTTTGGAATACCACATAGTAAGTCATAGTAACACAATTTTTATAATAAATATGAACAAAGTCGCCATTGAGAATTTGTTAATGAAGTTGTCTGATTTCAATAAATAAGCCTAACTGAATTACCTGCCCAGAGATCGATGGGACGAAATCAGGATCCCAAGATTTGTAAATCAATACACAGGAGTTGTGCGTATATTATCCGAGAGAGGGGGTCGAACCAGGGGGAATCTGAAAAACAATTAAAACAATGAAAAGTGGTGTGGTAAATTCCCATTCATCGAAATAAAGGTTGACTACACTCAAAAAAATATCCTTCTACATATTCAATATTCAATTACCATTAAAACAATAAGCGGAGAACATTATTGAAAAATCATTACGATTTAAAATCGTAAATATTAAATTAATGGAATTAATAAGCATTTTAAGGGATATTTTTTCGTGGTGGAGAAGTTATCTATATAAATTATTTTAACCTCAAATTTTCATAAAAATAAATTTAAATAAAAATTTCACCTCCTTAAATATGAGTACACTATTTTGGTAAAAATTTGTTGATTCCCCAGAGCTAATTAGCTTTCTAGAGAAAGTTATGTATTGTTTTAGCGAATAGACTGCATATAGTTAACTGTAGTTCATTAAGGAAAGGTATTACGGAAATATAACTAATAAGATCTTGAAACCCATAACAGTACAAATGTACAGATCAAGAAAACATTTTCCCTAGATCGTAAAACCTGATGTAGGTCACTGTCTGATGAAAAATATCGTAATATCCTTTAGAAGAAAGGATTGAATTGAGCCCTGTAAGCCCAGGCCAAAAATTATAGTCCTGGAAATAATGCCAGATATTCCAGGAATTTAATTTGAGCCTATGGCAAAACTATGATATATATATATATATATATATATATATTATATATTTAACTTAATTGACACATTTTAGGAAATTTTCAATTGATTTTTTTTTATTATTTTATTTTATTTTTAAATAAAGGTGTTTTTGAATTTATTTTAAAGACATTAAATATATTTTATTAAAAAACCTTGAATTAGGACCTATTAACCTATACAAATTATATTTTCAGTTTTACATTCACAGATTTGCATTTTTGCTCCACATCTAACGATCGTTTGTATGGCACCTATATGATTTAGTCGTCCGATTTTTATGAAATTTGCCACAATTTAAGACTTATATAAAATGGCTATACCTCAAATTTGATGAAAATCAGCTGAAAACTAAAAAAGTTATAAATTTAATTGAATTAATTTCTCGATCGTTCCTATGGGAGCTATATGATATAGTCGTCCGATTTTCATAAAATTTTACACAAAATTGTAGAATAATATGAAATGGCTATATCTCAAATTTGATCAAATTCTGTTATAATTTATGTTATAATTTTTTTTTTGTAAAAATTTTCCGATCATTCCTATGGCAGCTATATGATATAGTCGTCCGATCCGGCCCGTTCCGACATATAAACGAGTGAGAGTATATAGAAGACTAACTGCAAAGTTTCATTTAGATAGCTTCAAAACTGAGAGACTAGTTTGCGTAGAAACGGACAGACGGACAGACGGACATGGCTAGATCGACTCGGCTGTTGGTCCTGATCAAGAATATATATACTATACCCGTCTTATTACATATGCACATATGGATGTGTACTACGTTGCAAGACACAATATTTGTATTTTTGTTTTTTTTTTTAGGTAAAGGTAAATAAAATAATGACCAAACAGCCCTTGGCCTTTTGTAACGACTTTTCAGGCGCAAGAAATTGTCTTTTGGGTAATCATTTTTATGGGTGTTGTGCTGGTGGAAGTTAGTGGAATCTTGCCTTTAAACGACCAGCTGTCTGCACTTCATCACTGCTAGTGGCATTTCTATAACAAGTGCGCGTCTTTCTCTCTTGCACACTATGCTGTTCCTGATGGTATTGTTTTCCTGTGTGAGAAACAAAGGTGTCCCCGTCCCTGTCCTTATTCGGGCAGACTCCTTCTATCTCTCCTTCTATCGGTATCCCTGTTGCTGGCTGTCGGCTGGCTGCCTGGCGACGACAGGTGTGCAGCCGAGGAAAATTATTATTTATAAATTGCTGATTTTGTCTCTGTCGCACACAAGAAAAACCCTTGGAATGGCCCTTTGAATAAGTTTCATGGCCCAAGTACCACCCCAGTTGC